GCTGTACATTCGCATCCTAGTTCCCCATGGGCTACCACATATATACACACGAATATCTCGTTTATAGCGCATGATCTCTCCGATCTTTACAGTGACTGCCTTCTTCTTGAACTTCTCCGGCGTAGTACAGGACAAGGCACATTTTTTATTTTGAATATTTATTCTCATCCTAGAGATGACCTCACGGCTGTTTTTGAAGCAATCGATAGGGCCATCTAAATAGCAAACTCTGCTCCCATAGTTGTAACGGGTGATTTTAATGCCCCGCACGTAGATTGGGATTACAGGAGAAACACTCGGAAGGGCACCAGCCTTTTTCAATACATTCTGCGAAACAGGTGTGCTCTAGTCACTGACTGCATGCTACCAACACGAATTGACATCAGTGTGAGCAGAGATACCACCCAAGACCTCACTTTCACTAAAAACGTGCTACAAACTAACTGGACACACAGTGGGGTCAACCTCGGCAGTGCTCATTACATCCTAACAATTACACTGTCTCATGCCAATTTTCGTCCAGTTTCATTTAAAACATATTGTTGACTGGAAAAGATTTCGCGAAATCCGAGACCAAAACCCGAAAAAAGAAATTCAAGGCTACAAAGACTGGGCGTTCCAGCTTAAACGGGATGTCGTTGCGGGGACCGTAGCACCGGGCAACGTGGCGTTGAGTCCATCGCGGTAGCATCCACGGTGAGAACACGCCTTCTCGTGTACCTCGCTGGCTCAAGCTTACGTTGATGTCCCGCATCCTGACGTCTTGCTCTAGCGCTCTAGCGGGGTGAGCGCTAGAGCAAGTCACGCTCTAGCGGGGCGAGCGCCCAGGACACGGGGTCCAAAGCCCCGACAACCATTGAAGCCACCCGCGCACGCTCCCTGCTCCAGTCTTCTTTCTTCTCCTTTTCCAGTGAATTTCCCGCTCCGATTTTGCCCCTATGGCGCGCTCGTCATAATCATCACAATAGCCTTTGAACTATACAGGGTGCCCCAGGTAACTTTAGCCAGAGGTTTAAATAGGCGAACACATGCAATTTCGACGCGATGAAATACGTTTTGCTCACCGTTGCCTGGAGTTGGTCAGACTATTTTTATTTTCTCAAATACTGTTTCATTAAATATGTTTGACTAACTTTTGAAGGAACGAAGATGGATAAAAAATTCATTGAGAAAGTTGTAGATCGGCCTGCAAAACGTCTGCTTATACAGTTTTGATCTTTTGATTGCCTGCAAAATTAAAAAAATACCACGTGACAAACCCGCTGAAAAAACCCGCTAGTGTGCATGAAGATTCTAGTGCTTCAAAGCGTTCCGCATACGAGATACGCTTCCCTCGCACCGGTTCATGACAGTAATAGGCAGTCACGGCGATTATCGTTGTTGGTGGCTGATATCAAAATGTGTTCATCGTAAAGCCACTGCCACCGTTGCGGCCCTGTCGAGACAGCACAATGGAGCAAATGCGATGGTCGTTCGTGCGCGGAACGTTGAGGATCACTAGAATCATTGTGCGCACTGGAGTGTAGGCGAGTTTGTCACGTGGTAACTTTTGTTGCATTTGGCGGGCACACTCTAAAGAAAAAGGGGAGCGAGAATGGAGAAACGGGCTCCTTTCCTCCCTTGGCGCAGCGACTTCCTCCCTTTCGGGCGCTTTACCCGTCGCGCCTTCTTGCGGCAAGGACCAAAGGAGCAACGTTCCTCCTTCAGCGTTCAAGTTTCTCCTCAATGACGAGGGTCTTCCTCGCACGCATGCGCACGCCAAGCCTGTAGCCGGCCGCGGCCAGTCGCAAGCGATTGCTTTTACCTAAGATTGTTGTAAACAATGCAGGAGTGACGTTTTCTTTTCTTTTATTAGTGTAGAGTAAAAGCCTCTCTTTTTTATCATCAGGCACTCGTACGATGCTCCGCACACTTCCATGTGTGTCTCGTGTTGTTTCATACTACCAATTTGTCACGAATACAAGGAGCTCTGCTTCCCAAGCAGTCTTGCTTTATCGATTACCTTAGAGAGTAAAAAAATAATGAATTTTTTCGGTGTCGACATACTTGGTAAGCCCACGCATTTTTAGTTTTGCACGGCACCAACAGCACTCATGAATTCAACGAGGCGCGTAAAAAAGCATCACACTTCATTTTCCAACATTCTAGGAAACCTGATACCACTGTACAGTCCATGCGTGAAAGCACGATCATATACAATTGATAGAGTTATACGTGCCGCTACCGCCATATAGACGTTCTTTGCAGTTTACCCCCATTCGAATACGGCCGCGGTGGCGGGAAGTCGAACCTTCGTCCTCCAGCATAGTCACACGACACCCAATAAGGCTATGCTACCACGGCAGGTGAAAGCACAAAGGGAAACAGGCTGCAAAGTTTTACCGAGCGTTTATTCGCCAGACTAGATTACAACCATCAGAAACTTTTTAAACATCATCATAACTAAACTTTTGTGAAAAGTGAACCAATGACTTCTGTAGGTTAAACCAAATTCTCAATCGCATTCGTTTTGAATTGCCCCTGCCAGAACTGAGAAGTAGGAAGGAATCATGCACGCGAGCAGTATGCCTTTCTCGTCCATGATACTCCTTTGTCGTGATAAACTCAACACAGAATGCACTTCTAGTAACAGCTGTGCACAGCAAGTAAGTCCTAACGCTCACTCACCTTTATGAAAAGAGTATTCCGAATCCAGAGTAATAACCACCCCAGCCACAGCGCTAACAACAAAATTGTGGCGCTCACTATGATTGAAAGTTGACACGCGAGGCGAATCGCGAGAAGATCTGAAGCAGAAAAGTAGGCAGGCACAACATTCTATAAAGTTATGGTAAACTTACGCACTGAAGCGATAGTTCCTCCACTCAAGTATTAGAGCTGCCGCGACGCCAACAGCCACTGTCATAGCTCACGAAAAAATACCGTCGGATGCGAGGTCATCGCTTGTTTCTCTCGCAAGACCCGCGTTGTAACGTACGTATACATTGCTAGGACGGTCGTTACCGCATCAAAAACATTGTCATTGAAGGGCTAGTGGTGTACAGTATCCATGGCTAACGGTCACACTTGTGGTACGCACGTGAAAAGAATATAAGCAAACGTTAAGACGAAACAACTAAACGAGGTCGAAATGACCACAGAACACCTACCACGACGGAGACAAAGTTTGGTCTTCATGCTGCGCCCTCTCCAATAACAAGAAGAAAAAAAAACGTGAGCTCCGAAATGGCTAACGCGCGGCAAGAGTTTGCACTCTCGGAGGCTTCAAAAAAAAGTAACTGTGGCAGTGGTCGACAGATGGCGCAGCGTTCGGAATGCCGTGGGCATTCTATGCATGGCTTGGGGGTATCCGCCTTCGTGAAAACCTGATAACCTCTAGTAATTATTTCGTTCATTATCGTGCAGCCATTGATAAACTTAGATTCGTCTAAGCATCAGATACAATATATTTACGCGGGCGCATGTTGTGGTATTGATACAAAACGTAAAAAAATTGTAAAAAAAAACCTACTTGTAACTTGTGCCACTCTGGTCAGTCGAAATTCATCGCTATATAAGCTGGTACGCTTTCATAGTAGGGTGTGAGTAAACACGTCAAGGTTAAATAAAGAAAAAAAAAGTGAACACGTCGAAGTGTGGGCCGTTGCTGTGAATGGTTCATTGTGCTCTTGTTGCGTACTTGTTAGCGTAAATGCTAGTGTATTGTTGCGTACTATATGTGTACTTCGTGACCATGTGTGCATGTGTAGCTATATGGATTGCATCAGCACATATTAGGCTTCCGGTGTCCGTGAGTAATCCTGAATGGGTTTAGGCGTAAACAGTTCGCAAGGGAGCCGTAATAGTGGGCAATGCAACGTACGTCGCGGCAGGAAACTTTTTAGTTTCGTTTAAACCCTCCAGATGGCGCCAGCTACCACCTACTTCATTGCTATGACGCTCTCACACCTCCAGCTACTTATATAACATTGAAAATCTATCTATTAAAGCTGCACTACGGATTCGGATTGGTTTTACTGCGATCGAGTGTACGGTTTGGAGGCACATATCATGACCTGCGCACCCGTAAACGCATGGATAACGTCCCTACGCTATGTGAATCTGCGAGAAATAACTACAGCAAGCCTAGCATGCACTCTTCAGGTGAGGGCTCTGCAGAATCCGAGTCTTTCGGTGTGAAGGTGGCTTCGCTGACTGAACGAAACGTATACTTGCTCCGTCGTTCTCTTTCGCGATGTGTTCACCGCCATAGGTTCGTCTGCTTGTTTTTATAATCATTTCGTTCAATATCAATCTCAGCGGGACCGTTTTTTGTAACTTTCAATGCCGTGTACTCCTTACCATTCGAGAATCGTTGCATTTGCTAAGCCTACTCGCTTCGCCGGGGGGCAGCTATGTTGATTTTCATAAGGAGGAACGTGTTTCTCCGTGGATGAGGGAGCAACGTTTCTCTATTTAAAGACGAACATTGGGGACATCGCCGTTTCTCCCTATATGGAGAGAACGTCACTCCATTTTTTAAGAGTGCATTTGTAAATAGCAGAATAACACTAATACTTACCAGATATAATGTTCAAAACTGTCTAATCGGACGTTTCGCAAACCGATCTACAACTTTCTCATTGAAAGTTTTTATTCCCTTTCGTTGCTTCAAAAGTTAGTTATTAAACAGATCTAATTAAACAATATTTTAGAAAACAAAAAATTGTCGAACTCCAGGCAACGGTCAGTAAGATGCATTTGGTAACGCTGCAATTGCGTGGGTCGGCATATTTTTAAATTTTGGCTTAACTTGCCTGGAACACCCTGTATATCGTCATACGTCACCATATGTGATAATAAGCATGTTGTTTCACTAGGGGTGGTGCTCTGAAGACGCGAGAGCATACGTTACAGTGAAGAAATTCAATTTTTTTGAGCACTTCATAAATTGACAAATTTAGTGATAATAATATGCATATTATGATTTTCACATCCATGTTCTGTATTTGATCTTTAAGGTTCTGAATCCACTGCTGCGGACCCTCTGCGTCACAGCGAACAAGGCATGGCAGCCAAACCTGTCCAAACAACTAACAAACACTTTGTGGAAGAATCAGCCGCACAAGCTTTCAACAGAAATAAAGAGCCAGATACAAAATCACATCATGGACATAACACACGATATGCGTCTGTAAGCCCTGCAGAGTATTCTTCTGAATCCACTGAAAGTCAACCTCCCATGTCTCTAAGTCAAACTAAAGATGCCTTGAATACTACGCGACTTGAAGTGCAAGAGCAAAGCAGTCTTCACGAGTTGACTACAAATCATGTGACAAGTGGCGATGCTTCCAGAGAAATCAGTCAACCGGCGCTCGCTTTTATATCCCAGAATGAGTCGTCCAGGCCAGTCATTTGTGATCATCGCACTGACTCAAGCCTCTGCAGCGATCCTGCCAACGAAAGACGACCTTCGACGCGAGGTACAGGTGATGATCGGGCTGACCCAGCGGCCGGCGGTACCAGCGAACTACAAACTACGGCTCCTGAACGCCATGAGAAAAGTGATCTCAATGTCTACTCAAATTATAGTTTAAACTTCAACGCACGTTACTCCAATAGTTCACATCATCGCTCACTTCAAGAGGTGAAACCAGAAGCACCTTCGTTACCATTCAACGAACCTTCATCGATCACTGATCGGCCAAGTGTGACCAGTTCAGCGCATGTTCCAATGCAACCTGAAGACCCATATGAACCTTCATCAACCAAAGGTATGATTCCAAAGTTTTTTCAATGTGTTTACCCTGGTGTGACACTGCATGGGGTTAAAATGTAAGATAGCTTTAGCTCGGTAAATATCAATAGCACTGGCTGTATCAGTGTGAAAATGACCTTAATTACTCCGTTCGGTTTATCGATACAGTTGATCCCACACATTTGGGAGATTAGTGTAATGCGGAGCAGCTAGCAAATAGCTGCTTAGCATTGTATTGTTTGTCTTTGAGGCAAACGAAGTCATTTGTGTCAGGACATTATTTAGCTATATATCACATGTGTGTCATGCGTACATGAATGCGCAGTCCGGTATATACCATAGTATTCAAACGTGTGTTCCGTTACAAGTAATGCATGACCCGTCATTTTTATTTGTCACAAACTCGTGTCGTGCCATCCCATACTTGGCAGATATCTAGCACCATTACCATTCACATAATATGTACGTCAAAATTTGCTTGTTAGCACGTCATATACAGCCTCGTCGCGCAATACCAACTTCAGCGTACCTCAATCTAGCGAACCAACCATGAGCGCACCATAAGCATCGCATGTCAATTATGGAGTACATAAATCATGACATGCTTATCATGATCTTGATGTTACCAGCTGTCATTTCCGTTCGTCATATCTCATGGCTACGTCCCTGCCTCGGCCTTACCATTGCTTGGCGTAATTAGCTTGGTCATAGCATTCCCTGGCCTAACTCGCCATGTAGAACATCCAGCCGGCTGCACGGGCTCCGTTGCTAGTGGACGATGGCAACAAATTGATTGATATGCGGGGCTTAATGTCCCAAAGTCACCGTAAGATTATGAGACGCCGTATTGGAGGGCTGCGAAAATTTCGACCACCTGGGGTTCCTTAACGTTAACCCAAATCTGAGCACATGGGCTTACAGCTTTTCTGCCTCCATCCAAAATGGCCGCTGCCGCTGGGGTTCGATCACGCGACCTACGAGTCAACAGCCGACTACCTTAGCCACTAGACCACCGTGGTGGGGCGACGATGAAAACAAAGTAGACGCGCACCAGCCGAGCAGCGTGGCTGACCATGATTATTAACACGTGGCCTCGGGTATAGCTGCGGTGGCGATGTTGTAAGACAGCCAGCCGGTACTAATCTCAGAGGCCACCGTGCTGATTATTCCAAAACAGACTTAGTGCAGGCATTAAAAGCATCAAAAAAATTTAACACACGTGCCTATAAAAAATGCCGTCACGAAAAGTTTGTGACACATTTATTTCACGGGTGCACATCTGTACACAATGAAACGTCCAACAAATGAAAGAAACTGCCTCCGCTTAGTCGACCATCCGTCACGCGATGACTGGTTCCATCGTAACCTATCTATGTATGTATGTATGTATGTATGTATGTATGTATGTATGTATGTATCTATCTATCTATCTATCTATCTATTGTGAGTGCCGACTATTCACTTGGTCATCTTAATTTGTATACTCAAAACCATTGTAATCATCCTCGTTGGACGCGTGGTCTGCGTATATATATATATATATATATATATATATATATATATATATATATATATATATATATATATATATATATATATATATATATATATATATATATATATATATATATATATATATAAGGGAAAGAAGTGTATACCTAAGGGCTCGTTTTTCCGTGTTTTAACACAATATTAATGAGATATAACAGACAGTAATGCTAAGGAATGTACAGGGGAAGTTATTAAACCAATGGAATGTAAATAAGACGAAAGAAAAGTGGATGAAAAAATTACCAACTGTGAGCAGGAATCGAAGGTCGTAGGTTCGATTCCTGCTCACAGTTGGTAATTTTTTCATCCACTTTTCTTTCTTCTTATTTACATTCCATTGGTTTTAATAACTTCCCCTGTACATTCCTTGGCATTACTGTCTGTTATATCTCATATATATATATAAATATATATATATATATATATATATATATATATATATATATATATATATATATATATATATATATATATATATATGTGTGTGTGTGTGTGTGTGTGTGTGTGTGTGTGTGTGTGTGTATGTATGTATGTATGTATGTATGTATGTATAGAACCGCCTACGACTGTTGGGTCTCCTGGCCGTTTCGACAATTGTATCAATACCAAAATTGGTATGTCATAATACGTCAATCATAACATGCCTGTCATGAATGTCATAATTTCCATTTCATGGTCTCGCTGTTCTTGCAGTGGTTTAGTTCACCTGATATATTGCAAAACTGGTATCGTATGACGTTACTGCATGACGAACGTAAGTGGCAGACCCTAACGTGGAAATCGTGATTTGCATGTTAAGTAAGTCATGACTGTGCTCCACGCTCATGATGCGCTCACAGTCGTTTCACTAGCTTCACATATACCTAATTTTATATTACTGGACATGAATGAATTACAAATGTATGTGACTGGTGGAAACATGATAATCGTAAGACACGTGTCATGTAAGAACATCAATACACGCCACGCTCATGATGCACTCACACCCATTTTCCTAAATTCACTTATTCCAAAATAGGTATTACGTGACGCGAACGGGTGGCGAAGGTAAATGATACGTCCAATTATGATAATCATGAAATGCGTGTCATGTAAAACATGAGTACATACTATGCTCATATCGCGCTCTTGGTCATTTCCCTAGCTTCAGATATACCAAATTTGGCATCACAGAACGTCAATAGATGACGGAGGTATATGACTAGTGCAAACTTGATAATCTTGAGATGCGTGTCATGTAGGAACATGCGTACCACGCTCATGATGCGCTCGTGGCCGTGTCACAAGCTTCACATATACTAAATTTGATATTACGTGACGCGAACGAACGACGTCCAAGCATGATAATCGTGGCATGCGTGTCATGTAATACATGGCTACATGTTACGCTCAAGGCGCACTCGCGGCCGTTTCGCTAGTTCTCCATGTACCAAATTGGGTATCACGTCAAGTGAATACACTACGAAGGTATATGACACGTCAAAACATGACAATCATGATATGCATGTCTTGTAAAACATGACTACATGCTACGCTCTTATCGTGCTCGCGTCCATTTCTTTAGCTCCACATATACCGATTTGGTATTACTTGACGTGAATAGATGACTAAGATAAATGACACGTCCAAACATGACAATCAAGACACGGAAGTCATGTACGGCATAATTTACGTCTGCCTCATAACGTTGTGCTGATTTTAAACTGGCATATCAACCTTCCTCATGCGTGCTTCCCATATGATCGATTCCCACTGTACGTGGCGTCTGCCAATTTTTTCGTGCATTTGGCTTATTCAGAAAGGGTGGTCCCCAGAGCAAAAAATCACGAGTTTCCCGGAACTCCTGTGAAACTCGGCCGATCCTGCATAGCACCCTTGATGTATGTCTTGAAACCCGTTCCTTCTACTGTCCCAAAGTGGTAAGGCCTAGTAATCAGGTTCAAGTCTCCTTTTTGCCTTATCTCGCGGGCAAACCCTGTATACGTGTTATGCCCAAATGTGTGATGCTGCGATTTTATTGCACCAGGTTCTTGGACCTCTTGGCAGTCTCTTTCGTAGCAAGTTTTCGATTGGCGTGAAACTGCAAGCTATGATCTATTACATCGGAAACACCGATATAATTGCATGAGATCATTGCACGAGCTCTTCAATGAACTACCGTCCCATTTCCATCATTTTCGATGAGTCGCCGGAACTCTGTGGACGTCCGGCAGTGTTCGTACTTGTAATATTCTACGAAGACAAGCTTCCTGGATGTAGGACCCTCATGATAGAATTTCAATTAGTTCAGCAGTTTAACACTGTATCAATGTCCTTGTTTATACAAAGCGCTCTTCAGAAGCTCGGTGAAGCCATAGCCAGCGTAGTATGTGTTTCGCTCTGCCCCGCCGCGGTGGTCTAGTGGCTAAGGTACTCGGCTGCTGACCCGCAGGTCGCGGGTTCAAATCCCGGCTGCGGCGGCTGCGTTTCCGATGGAGGCAGAAATGTTGTAGGCCCGTGTGCTCAGATTTGGGTGCACGTTAAAGAACCCCAGATGGTCTAAATTTCCGGCGCCCTCCACTACGGCGTCTCTCATAATCATATGGTGGTTTTGGGACGTTAAACCTGACATATCAATCAATGTGTTTCGCTCTGATTCAAAGCTGGGAATGATCAAACGAAAGGAGCGCGCTTCCATCAGTGACAGCAACAACTATCTTAGCAAAACTTGTTATTAAGTTACATTGAAACCTCGATGATATTGTCGTGTCTGATGTAAGGGCAGCCAAACAAACGGCGACCAGGAAGTGCAAAGTGAACTGCGCCACGAGTGGGCAGTTTAAAGCTGCCCACGCATTACAAAGGGTGCAGCTGCGCAGGCACGCGTGGCACCTTACGGATGCCTCGTGGGTACTTCGTCAATTTTCGAAAGGCATAATTATGGCATAGTGCCCACATAGCGACTGTACATCCTGTAGACATTCTAAGATAGTTTGAAATAGCTACCGCTATGCGTAAGAAACTTGCCTTCCCTGCGGCAAGACGATGTGCCCGGTGACACTAACCTGTTCAAGACTTGAAGGCGAAGCTCAAGCGTTCAAGTTCTAAGTGTGCCTGATAGCTAGACAATATTGCTACCGAAGACCAAAATTATTGCATAATATTCTTCAATTTGGCCGCACAGCATTCGCTTTATTGAATGTGAAGCATTTATTTTTGTACTGTGACACTTTGAGCGTTTCTTTATACGTATCTATCTAGTCGCTTATAGGTCCGGGTGCTCTCGTGAACATTAAATTGGCTTAACCGAAGTTAGTAGGGTAAGATGGTTTTATGATTATGAATGTCTGGTCATGACATGAATAATGTGAAAATCTTGTCACGTACGACGTCAAAACCTGTCCTCCAGACACGTGTGGCACATACCCGCATGCCACGGGCCAGGATAAGCGGGTATGCACCGCAGTTGTTTGACCGTGTATACCT